TTTGAGATTTTTAATCAAATGTTGCAGAAGTCAATAGTTATCGAATGGCCCTCTTTCTATTGAATAAAACATTTTTTAAGGTTACCAGTAACACGCGCACGTAAAAATACAAAATTTTGAAGAAAAAAATCATGTACCGCTGATTAATCAACAAACTAATTTTACCTTTTCATTGCTTATTCAACTTCAACCAAAAATATCTTTTGAGTTTTGTTTGTACAACGCAACAATTTCGAGTAAAAAAATACAAATCGTATTAATGCACTTTGATTAATATTACTTGAAGTAAGAAACTTTGAAGTTATTGGCGATTGGTTATAATGCGTAGGTAGTCAAGGTTGGATTTTACTTAAAATCTTGGTTAATATTATAAAACGTATGCAAAGTCGTGCATAGGAATTATCTTTTTTTTATTTATGCGTTGGATGAACAAAACTCAAAAACGCTTTTTTGTTTGGAATTGAACAAGCAATCGAAACGTAAAATTTATTATTTACAAATAACTCTCGCATCGTTTTTTCCTTCAAAAATATATAATATTTTTGTGTTTTTAAATAAACTTTAACACCCTGTATTTTCGTAGCGATGCCCCCAAGGACTCTCATTTAGAACTTTTAGTGCCTGAACCTCTTTAAGGTTCCGGGATTAATTTTGACTCATCCTGTAAATACATAGATGCTATTTTTCAAATTTATGATGTAAATCCTAATTTTCATGAGATATATGCTAAGGTTTCTTTCTATGCACTATTTTACATAATACGTAAGATAAAGGTCATATACTTAAATGAAATAAATAGATGTTTTTAATTCATTGGATAATTAATAAGCCGTATCCGATTTAACTTTCAAGAAACACGTGTTAACTTCAGATTTGAATTTATTTGTAGTCGTTCAACACAATTAAGACCAGAAAAGATTAATATTAAACATTTTAAACTCTTTTGAAATTTATGTAATTCTCATTGCCGCGAAAAACATACTAATTCACCGAAAGACTTACAAATAAGATGCATATGGTGTCCTGTAACACATGAAGAATTCCAATGCAATAGCGGTAGTTTGAAGTGAAAAAGTTTGGAATTGTTTGAAATAATTATTAATATTCAATTAGAGGCAGAAAATAGACAAATATTGCCATAAATCTTCCTAAAAATTATACTTTTATCATAGAATCTGATTACACTGATCATATAGGAACAAAATTATTTATTTGTAAAAACCTTGTTGATTGTATAATAAAGTTTTCTAACCAAATAGTTCCACAAACACGCCTTGAATATTAAATTTTTCATTTGTCAACAGTTGCATTTTTAAGCTTTAAAACCCAACGAAAAATTTGGGTCAAGACTGGTACCAAGATCACGTCTATTCTCCAAACAATATGACGTGTTGATTCGTAATCAAACACCTCAAAAAGTCACATCAATTTTCCATATGGCTTTTGGCTGTGACTTCAAAAGGTTCGTATGGCAAATTAGCCATGCCCGTGTAAAAGTGAAACAGGTGGAGATTCTGCAAGAATATTCTTCGTGTGATTCAATTTCCCTACCACACCCATTTCATTAATACTTGTGTCCGAGCTGATATTATACCATCGTCCTCTTACGTTACACGCCTTAAGTTTTTTTGCAATCGAAAGTGTGGCTTCTTGTAGGTTCCTGACCCTCAGACGAAAAGATGTTCGCAGAATTCAGCGAAGGATTCCATTGATTTCGAGCTCCAATGGTGCAGAAGAAAATAAACGACAAAAACATCACCTTTAGATGAAAGAATCTGGACTTCTATTGTTCTCTACAAAGGATTTATTTTGTGGCTTTGTTTTGAATGCTTAATGARMGGAGATTTCAAATTTTCAAAAGCGTAAAATCTCCAAAAATGTCCGAAATACTTCGTCAGTTAAGTTACAAGTTACAACTTTGKCAATAGCTTTTTTCGACCACTATGTTTTATCAATTAGGTTTGATTAAGAATTTCTAACAGTTAAAGAAATAGAAGCAAAAATKACTACTTTTACGAGACTCTCGAATTTTAAATGTCCTTAAATCTTTGAAACGATTTTCAATCGTTCAATATTTAGTCTCAAGAACTGAATTTTGCTAGTTACATTTTATCAAAAGTTCCAAACCTCTAAAGAAAAAGATGCAGAAAATTGGAAGATTAAAGCTTAAATCACGTTATGTCTGAAGAATATAAAAATAATTTCAATTGAAAGTTGAAACTGGTTTTTACTGTTAGAGTCTAAACTTAAGGTTTGTTATTGAAGATTTTCTGCAATATTGACCTTCTTAAATAATCTACCATAGAACCTGACACCGAGCCCTCATTTCGATCAGTAAATTTTTGAAAATTCCATCTTGCCGAATGTAACCGAAAGCAAATTCCACCATCCAACTTTAAATAATTGCCAAAAATCTGGGAAAGTATTTAAAAATTCGACAATTGCAGAACTAATAGAGCCCATAATTGTCTATCAATTAGCCTGCAAATTATCCTGGTATCTACTCCTCATTTCCAGTAGTAAATTTTTGAAAATAGTTCTACCTGTCGTCTGTTGCCAAAAGCAAATTCCACCATTCAACTTTAAAAAATTGTCCAAAATCGATGAAAATATAAAGCAAATTAAGTTTTGCAGTGCTAATAGAGTCAGGAATTCCCTATTAAATAATTTACAAAACCGCTTTATGTCTAGCTCTCATTTCCACTACTGAATTTTTGAAAAGTCGAACTTGCTGAATGTTACCGATAGCAAATTCCACCATCCAACTTTAAACAATTGTCAAAAATCGATGAAAATATTGAGCAAATTAAGTTTTGCAGAGCTAATAGGGTCAAGAATTTCATATTAAATAATTTACAAAACACCTTGACCTCCAGCCCTTATTTTGACTAGTGATTTTTTTGAAAAGTCCAACTTGCTGAATGTAACCGAAAGCAAATTCTACCATCCAACTTTAAATAATTACCAAAAATCTGAAAAAGTATTGAAAAATTCGAGAATTGCAGAACTAATAGAGCCAATAATTGTCTATCAAATAGCCTACAAATGATCCTGATATCTGCTCCTCATTTCCAGCAGCGATTTTTTGAAGTGTTCAACTTGTCTGTCGCCAAAAGCAAATTACACCATCCAACTTTAAACAATTGTCAAAAATCGATGAAAATATTGAGCAGATTAAKTTTTGCAGTGCTAATAGAGTCAGAAATTCCCTATTAAATAATTTACGAAACCCCTTGATGTCTATCCCTCATTTCGACTAGAGAATTTTCGAAAARTGGCCAACAAGCTGAATGTAAACCAAAGCTAATTCTACCATCCAATTTTTAAAAATAGGCAAAAATCTTTGAAAATATTGAGCAAATCGACAGTTGCAGAACTAATAGTCAAAAATTATTTATGAAATAATCTGCAAAACAGCTTGGCATCTAGTTGCGGAACTTCAAACCTTTGCTAAAATATAAGAATTTTTTTTATTGATTTCGGAATAGTTGCACAATGAAGAGCGCAAAATTAAAAATTACTTGAACGATATTTGCAAGGGTTTAATGATACAAGTGAGAGTCTGTGTAGGGAACAGTTGTTGTTTAAATAAATAGTTGTAGGAAAAATTCAAAAAAAGCTCGGAAATTGTGCCATTATAATCTTTTTGCGCTCTCGTTGACCATACTTACTTACAACCATCTTACAACTAAACCCTTTCGATCGAAGGTTTTGAAAATAATCCGGTCCCGAGTGGACGTACGCACGAACAATGGATATTTTCAGAATACAGAAATTTATCACTATCGAAGCAATAAGTGCAATCTCCACTTTTTTTATTTGTCTGCACTTTCCCCTTCGTTAATGTGGTTTATGTGTTCCGAATTGAGACATGTCCGTGCAGACTCTTTTCATCCAATAATTGCGGTTGAAAGCTATTGATAAACGACCAACTGGACGGTTTTTTGAATCACTTTAATCAGGATGCTACTCTACTGCACGTTTACTTGCACTTTGCAGTTACAAAAATATTGTTAAAAACTAAGAAAAAATAATGACCTGGAAGCAAAGGGCTGCTACTAAATGCATCTGCACTATTTTGCAGGTTGGGTTTATTTGATTAGTTTCTCACTTGTTAATTTATTTTACCAGCTTAAAACTAGATTAGACACTAAAGAATCTACTACTTCAAGAAGAAGGACTAAAAAATCTACAGCAAGTTTCATTAAAATCCTTTGTAACATTCTTCCGATATAAAAAAAAATAATGTAATTGAAGAATAAGTTTGACCGTCAGTAGCAAAGGATCCAAATTGTTTGGATTACCCCCATTTCGGAACACCCTGTATGTCGGGGTCTAATTTTTATTAACTTATCACAAAACGGCATCTATGTTCTGCCACAAGGCAGAATTTAGTCTCGATATTCGCAAGGGGTGTTTCACTGAATATTCTGAATATTCACGTTTGTAATTTATTAATTAAATTACAAAATTTAATGAAAAACATGTCGTAATAGGCATGACGACAGTATAAAAGGATCAAAGAAATAATGGTTTTAGAGAAAAATATGTGTTGAAAGGATTCTAAAAATTGACTCATTCCTAATGAAAATGATGGGATCGACAAGATTTTTAATATAATAAAAGTATAAAATGCAGCAGTCGGCCATATTGCTTGAAACGCCAATCAGAACGCATGACGTCACTACCCTTGAAGGAATAACGCAGCCTATGTATCAGCTGTGGTAATAGCCCTATCGCATCAGTTTATTTATTATTTATTCGTGGTTTTGTGCTAAATAATCTAAAGAAATTAACAACGATTGAACAAGAATTTATCAAGGCCAACAGCTCTAACTTGCCCAGAGTTGATATTTTAATGTTGGAGCAGTTCTTTGCATCCAATAAAGACTTTTCCTCATCTGAGTTTCGTAATGTGAAAACTTCTTTGCAAGTACAAT